TTCACTGAGAAATACTTCATAAGCTCTGTCACATGACTCTTCATGCATCACATATTCCCAAGGGTGTTCAGTCAGGGCAACCCTAAATTTTTCAAAGTTTGAGCGAGACATGTCTCTTGTATAAGTTTTATTGCATTGATCGCGCTTAAAGGTAAAGACCAGTATTGGCAACGCCCCAATTTCAAAAAATGAAATGGAAGCTCTCATTACCAATCATGTGAAAGAATATGTTTTGACTAATACATGATGATAAAAAATTTGCCGGGAAACCGCCTACTAATTCATATATTTGGTAAATTTATTTCTCTCATGGTCTGGTGAGAGAGATAGGGTAGTCCCATATACATCTTTCTGTGTATAGTGCTTGTAACTTTACGAAGAATGGGCCAAATTTCTTATCATTTTGATGATTCCAGAACCTTGCAGATGCTAGATGCTAGATGATCACCTTTTCTGATCGATTCCACAACGTTTCTTTCACAATGCGATCGCATGACCATTACTGGTCTTTACCTTTAAGCCAATCACTACGTTTTGACCGATTGAAAACAAAAATTGGAAGGTGGTCTGAAATGTCTGCCAGTAAAATACCGCTTTTTAACACTAGACTTGTGTCATTGACAAAAATATTGTCAATAAGAGTTGAACTTGACTGAACTATTCTTGTCGCCTTTGTTATGAGAGGGGCATAAGAGTGAGAAAAAACCATTTCCAAAAAAGAGTTGACATGTTGGTCAGAGTGTAGATCCAGTAAGTTTAGATTGAAATCACCTAAAAAGTAGCATCAACAGAAACAAAATTCTATAGGCCACGAACTATTCGAAGTGTGACCAGATTCTAAGTATGCTTAAGTGGGGACATTAGGGACCATTTAGATTTGCACTTCGAAATGTAAAAGAAGAATAAGAATAATAGACGTTGCATAATGCAATTCGTATTGGTATTATCTTCAATCTCAGAGTGATTATAGACGTTATGTTTAAGGATATACAGTTTAAGCTGTCCGGGGTTTTGAAGATAATGCTTAAAAACAAATCGACCAAGCTGTTTATTTCTTTATTTAGGGTCTGTTTCTACTGTTTAATCTATTTTCATTGCCAATCCTCGAAAACGAATTTCTTATGCATTTCACGGGGAAAGCAGGCACGGATCCAGGATTTTCCAATAGGGGGGCCGGAAATTCGAAATTCGCGCAGACCGTTATTTAAACTTACCAATACTGACAAGGTCATATTAGAAGCACTGTACTTTAATAGTGTACTGGTACCTACAAGCGGACACAATTATTTTGGAAAGGGGACATGCTCACGTCACATCTCTTGTCCGATATCAACATTCCCCGTTTTCAAGTTATGCTCGCGCGCAATGTTTTTGACATTTCCCTCAGTGGGGGCTGAAGCCTCTTGCCCCAATATCTATTTCCTGGATTAATAATTTGGCGAGTGAGCGGAAATTTGAGCTTATGTATGTTGTGAAAAGTGTTAATTGTCACCAAAATATAAGAGATAAGATATAACAAATGCATATTGGTAATTTTTAAATTTTCGGGGAAAGAGAGGCTGCAACCCCATCCCGCATTAAATGCAGGTGTTTTGAAATCAAATCAGACTCCCCAAAAGGTATTAACCAAAACGCACGAATCCTGTTTCAAAAATCCAAAAAATGTCAGCTTCAGAGGGGGGCACATCACCCCTCAGACTCCCTCTAAAAGTATTAACCGAATCGCACGAATCCAGGTAAAACAAAAAAAATCAGCTTCAGAGCTAGAGAGGAATCCTCCCCCCCCCCCCCCACACACACACACAGACACTCCCTGTGCGCGCAAGCGTGAAATTAACGCTGGCGCTAATGCGTAAGCAGGGGCGGCGGAGCTATTTCCAAAGTGGAAAGCACCAACAAAAAAGGGCACCTACAAAGCGAAATCTTAAAGCAAAAACATACGTTTGTTTAGACATTGGTATATATTCTTTCATTGTGATTCCATTATCAGGGACGATTTCAATATTTGTTTTTCTTTATATATCATACAAGATATTGCTTAAGCATCACACTTTCGGCTGGGTGTGATTGTCTGAATATTCATTTGCGAGCGAGCAAAGCGAGCGAGAAAAAATGTAAGATCTGTGAGGTCGCAGAGTGAAAAATTACATCTTATAAAGAGGAAAAAACCAAATCATGATGGGGTTATAAGCATCACGGAAGACTGAAAAAACATTTGTTTTAAAGTGACATATCATCTATAAATGCGAGCGAGCGAGCGACCTTTAGGGGAAATTACTCTTAGTCGCTTTAAATTAGGTGCAAGACTAATGATGAGCAGGTTAGGGGCACGTGCCCCCCCCCCCCTGTGCCTAAGTGCGAAAGGGATAAAGACACTTATTAGAAAAGAAAAGGAGCATGTGTCAAGGTACAAAGAGTAATTATCAAAGGTTCAAACGGGGCACTTCTTACACCTGAAAGGAGGCACTCACCAGAAATGAGATAGGGCACTTATGGGTATGGGAAATGGGCATTTGTTGACGGAAAAGGGGCATCCATCAGAAATTGATTTATCAGAGGTGAAAAGGGGCATTTATGAAAAGGGGATGGGTCCCTTATTAGAAAGGAAAAGGGGCACGATTCTAAATAAAAGGGCAGTTAGCAAAGGTGAAAATGGGCACCCATCATAGATGAAAAGAGTACTTATCAGGAGGGGAAGGGGTAATTTTCAAAGTAAAACGAGCATCTCAGATTTGTATAGGGGCAATTATCGGAGGTGAAGAGCGCACTGAAGTGACAAGAATTAACTTCTCATAATTATATGAAAATGGTCATTTACCAGAGATGAAAAGGGACACTTTTTATTTATTAAGGGCCTCATTTTTCTAAATAGCCTTTATCAGATAGGAAAGGGGGCACATGTGTTGATGAAATGTGCGCTTATCCGAGTTTAAAAGGGGAAGGGGCACTTGTTTACAAAGTAAAAGTGGCCCTTTGGGGGGGGGGGTACTTTAAGAGTGGGGCGAACTTTGCCCCCTACCCCTGCCACCCGGCCCATCATCTGAAAATCCAAAATGATGTTGTAGGGGCCGTGCGCGGCTTTATCATGAGTGCTTTTATGTGAACCTCTTTTTTATAAATATATTATGCTGGATTCCGACCCAGATTGCACACTCTAAAATGATAGTATGATCATCCCAATACGCTTGTAGTTCACGTATGCACCCCTTCCTCCTAATCCGTCGTTACCGTCACTGCCAATAGGGACTTTTAGATTTGCGTGGACTGATACGTGTGACGTCCATTCAAGGCAGTGCATTAAAAGGACGTCGATCGTAGCAATCCCCATTGTCTTCGTGCGAATCTAAAAGTCCCTATTTACGTATGGCCGGCCGGTGTCATAGGCGATTTGTTCCGTGCAGGCGTATTTTTTATTTATACGCTAGCGAGGGGAATTTCTCGATTAATTCCAATGAAACCGCTTAAATTCCAATGAAACCGCTCGCGAAGAGTCTAGCCTAGATCGGAGAGCTCGCTAGTGCCATACGCTAGTGTGAATTTACATCCAGGAGAAAGTTTGCTTAACTTTTGCTTGAAACACTTGAACGGTTATGGAAACTGTTTGTGTTTCTAATCTCCAAATATTAATATTATTCTGCATCAAATATAAAACACTGATTTCTACTGTGATATGTAAAGGCACGAACTTACGTTAATACATACACATATTTTTGTTTGTAACCAAGAAGGTGCACCATGGTAATACATTTTAACAAACACATCAACATGTTACCTAGACAACTCATCACCATAGCCATTGTAAAACCATATATTAATGATACATGTAAAATATAGATTGAAGCAATTCTCGTCAGTTGGCTGTATCCTGAGTGTGATTTATATAATGGATTTTGAGTAACATTTGCATCTACCTGTATATATAGCATATTTCTTAATTTGATTTAACAAAAACACTCTAGACTATATGGTAATATTTTAATCATGCCTTGCAGAATAGGCTATTGAAATGTCGAATAACATCGGTCGTAATAACTGTTAATGATATCAACAATTTGGCCTATGAATTTTACCTGGGAGTTGCTGAAAAATCTTCGAATCCAGCAGCATAAGTAGAAAAGTTATTTCCTTTAGAAATTCATGTTTATTTGGGAAAAGAAATATTGAATCGCTTGGTAATTGTGCATAGACATGTAGGAATTTAATTATTAGCCCTAAACAAATTTCTATATACTGATGGCAAAGGGCTACTGTGATAAATTGCGACTCCCATCTCACAAAACACACAATGAACGGCTCCGCCCCCCCCCCTGTTCATATTTTCGAATACTTCTATATAGTCTTCGTCTTTGCCATAGTTACAATCGCTCTGATCTTCAACTCTAACATATTATGCATTTTTGGACCGATGCATAAAAAAGCTTACATTATGTGGCTTTATTTTCAATGGCTTCATTATACGATTCAGGATACAGAAAAGCCATTATTCCAGAAAGGTGGCAAAGACCATCAACCTAAACCTGAATTTTCGGACAAATTAAAAAAAAGCACCAACAACAACACTATATCAGAATCTAAAATTTGAAACACATCGGATCATTTTATCTTCCACATGCAAGGATAAATAAATTAATAATCAAATTATTAGAGGATTTATCGATATAATGCTAAATACATTTTTTTTCTCTTGAAGATTTACCAACAGAAAATATACAAGGGGAGGGGTGTCACAATGTCGAATATTCGATCCCCCTCTCCCCTTTTTATTAAATTTGTGAGTATGGAAGTGAGCGAAATTGACACTTATTGTATTGTAGATTCATTTTTTGTATAACAATGTACTAATTATAAAGGAGATTTTAACATATTCTAATAGACTACCTATAGGTGCCATTGATATGAGGCAACTGGTGCCGAAATATGATTGCAAGGTGTTTTTAATTACCCAATCTTGAGGAGCTTAAGATCAGCAGGCCCTCATCCCACCTCGTACGTCCATTATGGGGGGGGGGGGGGGGGGAGGGCATGCATACCCCGCAACACGCCCTCCATCTAGAGGCACCCTATATGATCTCAGTCTAATTTTGCTTTCCTCTTTCCACAAACCATTCGACAACATAAACGAACCCCAAATATAACTATAAGAAGAAACGCTGTGGCAAGCAGTAGAAGAAATGCGAGGACGTCGATCATGAAAAACTCAATGAGGGAAAGATCCCTTGCAGATGTTTTGAGATACTGTCCGCCATATTTGATCACGTGTTCAATCCAGAATGCTGCGCGTTCTCGTGCCTGCATGGGCCTTTCTCTGATGATGGTAGAAACCTCTTTAGCCACTGCAGTGTACCTGTATGAAGAGGAAAATGTTATTAGTTAAAATTTGTTCTTTCTTTCTTTTGATTTTGCATTTCCAGTCAAGTGCTTAATTAACCACTCGACTATACGACACCTCGACATAACTCCCACTTTCTGCTCTACAAACTCACTTTGGATCACTGATGACGTCCTGTAAGGTATCATAGATAACATCAGCACTGGCAGCCATCTTGTCGATCTTCTTGCCCATCCCTCGAGCTACGACCCTGGCGGCGACGTCGAACTGGTCCGCGTGGAGCGGGACGACGACTATGGGTACACCGTGATAGCAGGCTTCCTGGAACCCGTTGTTGCCTCCCTGATAAAGAAATACTCGGGTCTTTGGATGACCTTTGAGTAGAAGGGATAGAAATATTTTGTTTAGATGGATAACTATATAAGATACGGAAAAAATAAGATAGATGTATGATATTGGATATAGAATAGTTTGTTTTGTGCTTGTTTTTGGAATGTATTGATCTAAGCTAACTTTCAGATGGTATTTCCAAACAATCTTTCGATATTGGATTGGAAAGTGCAATATCACTATATATATTTCGACGTCATCTTTTTTTAAAACAATAATTAAGAGGTCTTTAAAAGGGACTGACGGTTAATACGCACCACCAACCGACGCGAACTCTGTGTAATGTGATTTGTTTTTGGTCTCGAGTCCGTATATCGTCGATTTGAATGGTGTACACTGCCTACACCTCGCTCACACCAGGGGCTTTTCACTTTTAATCTGGTCACACAGCCAAACTGACTCAAAACCTACAACATACCGATTATTCTGCCTCATTTGAAGCACTGAAATGTGTTGTTGTTTTTTTTACTTTGATATGCAATATCGTATGACTTCGGCTCATTGCCCCCCACCCCCCCCCCCCCCCACTTCCCACCAACACCACCACCACGTACATGCACCACAAGGTATTATATTCCCGAAACTCACCCAGTAGATCATTCTGAGGTACCCAGGGCTTGACCTTCACGTTTGGAGAAACGTCGATTTCGCCGAGTGGATCCTTCATCTGCCAGATCACCTTCTGCGGCAATCTTCGGAAAGCTTTGGCAAACTGCTCAGCAAATCCCGGTTGAATGATCGTTATCTCACCGAAGTACGTGCCAAGGGTGAAGAGAATGACACCATGGTCGCCTGAACTCTCCATGAAATCTTCCAGTTCCTGATGACGTAAACATTGGTCACGTATCAATTAGGATATGAAATAAAAACGCTAAGACTTTCGAGAAAAAAAGCACCCTCAGCCAATTTTAGTATAACCTTGTCATGCACGCCCCCACCCCCCCCCGGCCCCCACTCCGGGGTCGGAATGACCGCATGCGTGTTACCAAAATGTCCGGTAAAGGGGTACCTTTCGTGCGACAAAGTCCGGCCCGAGAATTGTAAAAAAAAAAAGGGGTGTATTTGACTTTTCACCCGGAGATTTCTTTAAAAAGGGAGTGTTTTTCTTTTTTTTTTCTCTCATTTTTTTCTCTCATCTCTTTGAACTCCTGAGAAATTATTCCGAATTGTCTGACATTACTAATGTCAGAACTGGCGTTCCGCAAGGCTCGATCATCAGGCCCCTTCTTTTTTCGGTAATGGTAAATGCTTTACCAGGGATTGTTGAAAAGTGCCACATTATGATGTACGCCGACGATACAATATTGTACTACAGTGGGAAAGATAATTAAAGACATTGAATCTGTACTGAATAAGGAGCTTGAGATAGTCAATAAATGGCTGACACAAAATCATCTTAGGTTGAATTTATCAAAAACTCAATATATGGTTTTTGTGGTGATATAAATCTGGCTGTTGACAACCATGAGCTAGAAAGAGTAAACACCTATAAATATTTTGGAGTTTGGATGGATGAGACATTAACCTGGCAAAAACATATTGAAGAAACAATGAAAAAGATTGCTTCCCGACTTGCACTCTTTGGTAGACTCCGAAAATACCTCACGGTTGACAGCTCTAAAGTCTTAGCTAACTCACTTATATTACCTTACTTTGACTACTGTAGCAATTCATGGTCCACATGTGCACAATATTTGAAAGACGGTTTAATAAGACAACACAGGAAAATGGCCCGGTTGATCTTAAAAGTCAATTATTCTACTCCCATTGAACAGGCATATAACAAATTAAAATGGGTTTCAATTGAAGAAAGGTGGCAATTCCATAAATGCAAAACAGTGCATAGTGTACTCCGCGGGGAAACCCCAGTTTACCTCATTGAACTTTTTATACGTTCAGGAAGTATCATTCACACCGGACAAGAAATGCAGTGCACAATGGTGTTGTGGTGCCACTTGTCCGCACACAGGCTGGTAAAAAAGCCTTTTCCCGTTGTGCTTCCGTTCTCTGGAATCGGCTGGATAGCGGTATTCGGGGCGCTGTTTCTAGTCAGTCCTTTGCTACCTCATATTGGAGAATTAGAAATCAGTAGATGGTTTGGTATGAACACAAACACATCAACAAACAAACAAAACTAGACATATAATACTTGTTTGGAACAAGTATAGGTGGGCTGGTCAACAAACATTTGAGACAAAATAAGGCAAAAATAAGCGACATACTGCTTACAAATTCTTAAAAGACAATATCATGTAGATTCATAACGTGAACTAAATTCACCTTCTATAGGCATAACACGCAAATATGAAGTTTTTGACATGAGGCCTTTAATCAAAATTTTCACTATGATGACGTCATCAAAATGAAAAATGGTTATTACTGCGCTTGTAGAGAATTGTCTTAGCTACAACATATCGAAATTTTGAAGAAAATTGATCAATATTTACAGAGATACAATCAATTTTACATAAATATGCTGACGTCATAATATGCAAATTCGTATTTTGAGTTCCAAGGCCATTGTGATGATGTCACGATACACTTAATGGCCAAAAGAGACATGGAATCATATTTCCGACTCATACTCTATCTTAATATGAAAAAAAATTGAGGATCCTGGTGCATTCCAAAGAGCTATAACGGATTTTGTATAGGCATGTTTTTGCCCATATATGCTATGTATTAAAAGACCTCGCGCGCACTGACATTTATCTTGAATTTACGCTCATCTTGTTAATAATGGTCATAAAGAGATAAACATGGAATCAAATTCCTTGAAAAAATATGAGAAATATCATGAAAGAAAAAAAATGGCGATTCTATGTTTTTTAATGGTGTTACGCGCGCGAAAACGCGCGCGCATGCTCGTACGCGCGATTTTTATAAAATGCTTAAAATGACCTGAAACGTATGCAAAATAAATTTGAGACGATTTTAAGCATTTAAAAATTTTGCGCGCGCATTGACGCGCGGACGTACGCGCACGCGCGCGTTTTTTGACCTGAAATTGACTGGACTGATATTGACCTTGATCATAATAAATATGAATGAGAAATACCTTTTGGTTATGAAGATATGATCATGAGTTTATTTTCAGAAAATTTCACAAAATGGCGCCTAGATGACGTCATCAGTCAAGGTCAAGGTTGAAAACCTTACTGTGTTTTGTCCATATGCCTATACATATGTGTGCCAAATATCAAAGCATTTGATTAAACCATTTTCAAGATATCTTGTTAACAAAAAAGTGGGTAGAATTAAGAAAAATAAATAATAAACTAGACATATAATACTTGTTTGGAACAAGTATAGGTGGGCTGGTCAACTAACATTTGAGACAAAATAGAGCAAAAATAAGCGACATACTGCTTACAAATTCTTAAAAGACAATATCATGTAGATTCATAACGTGAACTAAATTCACCTTCTATAGGCATAACACGCAAATTATGAAGTTTTTGACATGAGGCCTTTAATCAAAATTTTCACTATGATGACGTCATCAAAATGAAAAATGATTATTACTGCGCTTGTAGAAAATTGTCTTAGCTACAACATATCGAAATTTGAAGAAAATTGATCAATATTTACAGAGATACAATCAATTTTACATAAATATGCTGACGTCATAATATGCAAATTCGTATTTTGAGTTCCAAGGCCATTGTGATGATGTCACGATACACTTAATGGCCAAATGAGACATGGAATCATATTTCCGACTCATACTCTATCTTAATATGAAAAAAATTGAGGATCCCGGTGCATTCCAAAGAGCTATAACGGATTTTGTATAGGCATGTTTTTGCCCATATATGCTATGTATTAAAAGACCTCGCGCGCACTGACATTTATCTTGAATTTAGGCTCATCTTGTTATTAATGGTCATAAAGAGATAAACATGGTATCAAATTCCTTGAAAAAATATGAGAAATATCATGAAAGAAAAAAAAAATGGCGATTCTATGTTTTTTAATGGTGTTACGCGCGAAAACGCGCGCGCATGCTCTTACGCGCGATTTTTTATAAATTGCTTAAAATGGCCTGAAACGTATGCAAAATAAATTTGAAACGATTCTCAGCATTATAAAATTTTGCGCGCGCACTAACGCGCGGACGTACGCGCACGCGCGCGTTTTTTGACATGAAATTGACCGGACTGATATCGACCTTGATCATGATAAATATGAATGAGAAATGATTTACCGTTATGAAAATATGATCATGAGTAAATTTTCAGAAAATTTCACAAAATGGCGCCTAGATGACGTCATCAGTCAAGGTCAAGGTTTTAAACCTTACCGTGTTTTCTCCATATGCCTATACATATGTGTGCCAAATTTCAAGTTATTTGATTTAGCCATTTTCAAGTTATCTTGTTAACAAAAAAGTGGTTAGAAATAAAATAAATAAATAACTAGACATATAATACTTGTTTGGAACAAGTATAGGTGGGCTGGTCAACTAAAATTTGAAAAACAAAATAGAGCAAAAATAAGCGAGATACTGCTTAATTTTTTTTTTAAAACAATATCATGTAGATTCATTACGTGAACGAAATTCACCTTCTATAGTCATGACATGCAACTTAAGAAATTTCTGATATGTGCCCTTTAATCGTAATTTTTACTCTGATGATGTCATCAAAATGAAAAATGGTTATTATTAAACTTGTAGAGAATTATCTCAGCTACAACATATCGAAATTTGGAAGAAAATTGATCAATATTTACAGGGATACAGTCAATTTTACATAAATATGCTGACGTCATAATATGCAAATACGTATTTTGAGTTCCAAGGCCATTATGATGATGTCACGATACACTTAATGGGCAAATGAGACGTGGAATCATATCTCCGACTCATACTCTATCTAAATAAGAAAACAAATTGAAGGTCACCGTTCATTTCAAAGAGCTATAATGGATTTTGTATAGGCATGTTTTTGCCCATATATGCTATGTATTAAAAGAGCTCGCGCGCACGGACATTTATCTTGAATTGACGCTCATCTTGTTATTAAAGGTCATAAAGAGATAAACATGGTATCAAATTCCTCGAAAAAATATGAGAAATATCATAAAAGAAAAAAAATGGCGATTCTATGCTTTGTAATGGTGTTACGCGCGAAAACGCGCGCGCATGCGCGCGTGCGCGATTTTTTATAAAATGCTTAAAATGGCCTTAAACGTATGCAAAATAAATTTGAAACGATTCTCAGCATTATAAAATTTTGCGCGCGCACTAACGCGCGGACGTACGCGCACGCGCGCGTTTTTTGACATGAAATTGACCGGACTGATATTGACCTTGATCATGATAAATATGAATGAGAAATGATTTACCGTTATGAAAATATGATCATGAGTAAATTTTCAGAAAATTTCACAAAATGGCGCCTAGATGACGTCATCAGTCAAGGTCAAGGTTTTAAACCTTACCGTGTTTTCTCCATATGCCTATACATATGTGTGCCAAATTTCAAGTTATTTGATTTAGCCATTTTCAAGTTATCTTGTTAACAAAAAAGTGGTTAGAAATAAAATAAATAAATAATAATAAAGGCAATTTTAACAAAATTATAAGGTGGTCTGTATAGATACAGCCCACCTGATAATAAAGGCAATTTTAACAAAATTATAAGGTGGTCTGTATAGATACAGCCCACCTGAAAATAAAAATTCAATATGGCGTGGCGAGGGAGAGTAGTGTTTGGAGTAGTACGTGCCTCAGACCCTGCTGTCCAGTTGGTTCCGGCAAGCGGAGGCATTGTGAGAGCCTTATAGTTTTTTTTTTTTCTTTTTTTCTTAAAAGTTTAATATTTCGTGCAGGTCTGATGTCATAGTAATATTTGTTGTTTTGTATTCATTTACATGTTTGTAATTTGTGTTCTACTATTGCAGGGCCCCCGAGTATAACAGTGTTTTACTCACTGGTGGGGTTACCCTGGGTAAATAAAACAAAATAAATGAATAAATAAATAAATAAATAAATAAATTTAGGGGGTACATTGAGCATTTTTACGTATTTAGGGTGGTCTCCAAGGCAGGAAAAGCCCGCGAAAAGCCCGCGAAAGGGGGGTTCGGAAATGTTGGCAATCCTCAGATAGGGGGTGCTTTCAAAAAGAGGGAACGAGCATAAGCGTACCCTAAATAACACTGAGTAGGTGGGGGGCGGGCACCCCCCCCCTATCTGTAAATTTGCAACTGCCACGGGACCTGCGCAAATCGTTTATTATATAAAAAAAAAAGATGCTGACAAGTTTGTTGACCAATCAATTTTTCATCAAGCAAACAAAATAATAACAACAAAACAAGCCCAACAAAATTGCTCTTACTGCGTGAAAGGTCCTAGACATTTAAATAATGGCGAAGACATTACTGGATTTAAAGAGAAGGTTGAGTTCTGGGAAGAGGTGAAAAATAATTTGTGAGCGTTACTCATTCTTATTATGCAAGTGTGGAAGAACATCAGATAATTAAGACATGTTCCCTGAAAAGCATGGCTCTTCAAATGCCTTCATATTCTAAATATGCATGTAACATCGTAAAAATCGGGGCCGGCTTTTTACGCCACGTGTTCGTGTAGTCCCATATACATCTTTCTGTGTACAGTGTTTGTAACTTTACCAAGACTTGGCCAAATTTCTTATCATTTTGATGATTCCAGAACCTTGCAATACACACAAATACTTATATGCTAGATGATCAACCTTTTCTGGTCGGTTCCACACCGTTTCTTTCACAATGCAATCGCATGACCAGAACTCAACTTCATCTTTAACAAAAGATTAAAACAAACAAAAATCGTCTAGTACGTAGAAGGAATATAGACCAGTAATTATAAAGTTGCTCACCTGGTCAAGTTGTGTAGGTGGCCATGCTGTCAGCCCACCTCCGACTGGAATCACATTTGGTGATATCGGGAACGGGAACTCGATGGCGAAATCAAAGTTTTGAAGGTGTAAGTCGGCAAGATCGTTCATGAGAGACATCTTTATGCTCATGACATCTTCAAGTCCTGTGTTCTCCCCTACGCGCATGTAGAGCGGTATCAGAGTAGCACCAAGCACCGCGTATACAACAGACTGCAGGAGATTGGCTGTCCTCTCTAAGAAACTCATCCTGTTGGTAAAGCCCGTGTTGAGTTCTGGTTGGTAGGCTGGATTGTACGAGGAACCGTACGAAAACAACGCCATAAGATGAGGTGTTAAAGGTGTCAGAGTCACCAGGGCTATCTTCTTCGAGTAGTTCAGGTTGCGTTCCAGCGCGGCTCTGATCATTATTCCACATATCCAAGTCATATCGACAACGATAGCGTCGACGTCCTCCAGGCGCTTCATGAGCTCGATATCGAGAAGGAGATCCTCGCAGTCATCTGCCATCGATTCGATCAAGTAGTACACAGTCTTAATGAGACCATCATCACCTTTCCCAAGCGAAAGAACACCGAAGTTCTTCCAGAAATCTCGGACCTCTTGAAGGGACCTCTTGTGATGGTCAAACACTTCGAAGGATAGATTGGAGTACATTGGTTCCCTGGTACGACGTTCATATGCCCTGCTGATGAGAAGTGTGGCGTTGTGTCCTCGTTGGACTAGGCCTTCACCAATGGCGGCACCAAGGAAGAAGTGACTCCCTTCCCCATGCATTGATGATATCAAGACATTACTACCGGACACACAACATGATACGAACATTACAAGAAGATAAAACCAGGTTAGGCTGGTAGAAATCACACCAGATACATTAACAGCCATGTTAGGGGAGCTTTCCAAAGTTGCGACTGCGCCCCGACGCGTACGTGGCACGATAAATATATAGGTCGCGTTTAGACGCATTCAGGCGCGAAGGGCGCAATGGGGCACGATAGGTTCATCCTAACATCGTTTATCACATAATATCACCATAGCAACCATCACATCCAGATGTCACTCTGACAAAATAACAGAATATACAATATTTTGGGATATAGCCTGCCGAGCTACTAGCAGTAGATACAGCATTTATTTCACATAAATTATCAACACTTTCATTTTTCAAAGTATGAAAACAACTTCCAACAAATTCTGTCTGAGAATCATACATATATAATGTTTTTATACCTCTTAACATTTAATCATGTGAAATCATAACTAATTAAACTGTTATGCCCTAACCCTAATTATGCCCGGGTTTAAAAAAACAGAGAAAAAACTGAATCAGCACTAAACTCTGAAAAGACCCTATAGCCACCACAACCTAAACTTTGATGCAACAACGTCTCCTACCTATTATCATTTTTTAGTTCAATTGTAGTGACTTGAACTTTTCTAAGGTCACAAATGTTTATCAACATTGTAAATACTCAGCATTTTAAGCATTCCTTTCGTTAGTACTTTCCGTTCAGCCAACTTCAATAACAATAACAATCTACAGCTGCACATTCTAAACATTCTCTTAGTTAATTTCATCCATGGAACCACCCAGCAACAAGCAGAGTGTTATTTTAGTTACTCCAATCGGACCGCACCTTATTGTTTTAATAAGCCAATCAACACACTTTTAGCGCACTTGGAAAAGTCTCCACACACGAATTTTACTAACTTCTCCTGTCTTCAGTTTCGACACTCGGACGCGTTTGTATAGGAAGAGTTCGGATTATACAACAAGCGTTATTTCATTGGTTTTCACATTAATAGTGAGTTTTCATCAGCATCGTTTTTTTTAGGACTCTATCGCAAATCAGATTTTAGTTTCATCCACAGCATTTATTCCTACACACTCTTTAAAAAGAACTCCATATAAAAAAAAAAGTGCTGTGTGCGGTCCTTGGAAAGCTAGAATGACTTAATTCCCTCCACACACCACACCCTTATCTCGCATCTCTTTTCATATTCAAATGAAACACCTTCGACGCAACGGAATTGAATAATTCCGTCACGCATGCCAGAGAACAATTAGGCCCGAATTCACAAAGGAGGTTTGTCGACAAACCTTGGTTTTACAATATTAAGCGAAAGGAAATCCTAACTTTTGGCTGCCTTACTAAATAGCTCAATAATGGGTTTTAGATAGTTTTGAGCATCAATTGAGTGAATAGAAAACCGTTTAGAATGCGAAATTCGATTGAAGTTCTTTTACGCACACTTTCCAGTGGCGGATCCAGGGGTGGGCCGAAACGGCCGCGGCCCCCCCCCCCCCCCTATTGGCGGCGCAAAAAAATTGAGAAAGAAAAAGAGGAAGAAAAAAAAAAGAAAAAAAAGGGGGGGGGGGAAGGAGAAGATAAAAGAAAAGAGAACAAAAAAGTAAAGAAAAGAGAGAGAGAGAGTTCAAAAAAGAGGAAAGAAAAAGAAGAGAGGAGCCGGGTAGAAAGAAAGACAACGAAATGGCACTAAAAATTAGTGACAGTAACGACGAATAAGGGAAAGACAAGGGAAGGGGGGGGGGTGCGTAAAGGCGGATGCATTGAGGGGAGGGGGGAGGGGTGACTGGCCGTATTCTTATTTTTAGGTTATGCGAAACTGAGTCGAAATTATGCTTCTTTTCAAAAAAATCTTAGCATGCTTGTTTATGTTAAGCCGTAGTGCATGAAAAGGTTAGTGTAGAAACACTTCCGAAAAGGCCGCGCCCGGCCCCTCCAAAGAACGGCAGAATGGTAATCTATAAATTATGGGGTCATTCTTGATGGCTTGGGAGTCGTTAAAAGGAGGGGGGTCGAACCCCCTCAATTTTTGTCAAGTTGTCAAGTTGGTCCTGATGTGTATAATGCGTAGACCAGGGGTTCTCAAACTTTTTCTTTGACGGTCCAGAAGCGATTTATATGAAAGCTGTAAGGTCCGAAATGACACTTGTATACTGAAGATAATTAAAAAAAACAGAACCGCCAGTGCTTCCACTCGTTTAAATAGAGTTTCCTGAAAAATAATATCCAATATCCTGGAATTTGAAGGAATTTTCTTAAAACTTTCAAAATGCCTCTTACGTGGATTTCTTATTTGGATGAATCGCTATGACGTTTTAATATATGTATTAATTATTGAGTGGGCTTATTTTGCTTTCTAATGGATCCATACAACATGGCAGAGCTTGAGGGGCCTGGCAGAGCCTTTTCAAGAGAGAAATTGTCTTTAGGAGAAAAAAGAGGTTATTTTCTAAATCGAAATGAAAGGGTTATTGACTTTCAAGAGAGAAAATTGTCTATAAGAGAGGAAGAGAGGTTATTTCTAAAATGAAATAAAAGGGCTCTTGTCAAATAGCCCTTTCATTTCATTTTTTCTCTCGAAATAAGGCTCTCTTTCTCTCTTATAGACAATTTTATGAAATGGAATCTTCAATCTGAAGCCTTTTTGTGCTCTTTGAAATGGCACACTGAATGGGGGCAGTGCTATTTAAATTCCAAGGGATGGATTAGAGTTTTTATTGCTCTTAAAAGTCAAATATCCCTTTCATTTCATTTTAGAAGTAAACTCTAATACATTCCTTGATATTTAAATTGCGCTGCCCCTATTGTGTCCTCTTTTTAAAGAGCACAACAGAGCCCTCAGATTAGGCAGCAAGTAGCAAAACAAACCCGTAACACTGGACACAACATTCAATGGGATGATGCCCATATCATTGAGTTTGAAACGCACTTCTGGTCAGGAATGGTAGAAGAAGCATCTGCATAAAAAGGATGAATCCTTCACTGAATAGGGATTCTTGCTATACACTTTTACCTTTGTGTAAATAATAAAAGGTCCACGGGCGTGGTTGTTAGAAGCTTAAACTACATAAAACTCTCCAATTTTGCAAGGGGAGAGCCTTTGTCGGGAATCTTTAATAATAAAAGGGATAAATCCTTCACTGAATAGGGATTCTTGCTATGTTACCTTTTTTCGCTCCAGTGATCTCGAGGCAGCAGACAGCAAGAAATTGTGTAAATAATTTGCTGTTGCCGGGAGTCTTGCGTGGGGCGGAGCCCCAAGAATTTCTTGAACTTTAAATTTTTTAGGAAATTCCAAAATAGTCGTCATGAGCGATAGAAATTGTAATTTCCTCCTTGAGCGTCACATAACCCCTTTCATTTCATTTTAGAATTTAACCTCTCTTTCTCTCTTAAAGACAATTTCATATAACTTCTGTTTTCGTATTGTTGTACTTTCGTCCGCAGACTACTTAAGCACATGTCGAGCCAACTGTAATATGTAGGCCTAAGTGTTCATGTTCTTCCTTTTTTCTTTCTTTCTTTCTTTCTCTCCCTCTCTCTGTCTCTCTCCTTTTCCTCTATCTTCTTTTTTAAAAACATTATTCTTTCTTTTCTTCTCATTTATTTTGCGTGTGACATGCGTTACGCGTACGTCTATCAATGTCTCAATATGGTAGATTTACATTTTGATGTTTCCCTTTGTAGGTGCACCTTATATTCCAGAAAGTGCCCTATTTTTATGGTGCCCCCCCCCCCCCCCATGTATTGATCTTGAAAAAATAACTTTCTCATTAATTCTATTTCCAATATATCTAATACTTGCACTAATCTCCAATTTAAAAATAAAAAAGCAAGAAATTGTGTAAATAATTTGCTGTTGCCGGGAGTCTTGCATGGGGCGGAGCACATTTTTTTTTTTGATCCTCACAAAAATTTCAATTTGCACCCCCCCCCCCTTGAGCGCCAGGGGGGGGGGCCCAACCCCCCCCCAAAAAGGTAAAAATCACGTGATTTTACATGATTTTTTTCTCAAGGGGGGGGGGGGGGGGCCCCCGGCCCCCGGCCCCCCCCCCCCCTGGATCCGCCACTGCGTGTACCCTCACCGTGCGACGAGAGTGAAACAGCACAATCTCCGTCTCCGTCGTACGAAGAAATTATGTAATCCATTCGAATATTTCCCAAAGCTAATCACATTTGCTGATGTAAATAATATGATTTGCAAATATGAACTGCTAAAACTAATGAAAACTAAAGAAAAACGCGTTGCCAATTTGATATTATTGTAAGGATCGTATGCAATTCTCTTGAATTTACGTACAATGTACACTGATCTATGTAGAGATCAGTGGCTCCGTACCGACAAGACTCGAGTAATTTTTGTGTAATTAGAACTTTTTATGAAAACATTTCTTGTATTAGCAATGCAATGGTAGTTTAAGAATATGCCTACAGAATTAGAGTCCCTAAATATTCATTGTAATGATAAAAAAAAAGATATATGTCTTTTTTTTATTTCCAGTGCTGAATTAGTATTGACATGTTTTCAAATGTTTGATTTTTTTCATTTATTTATTTATTTATTTATTTATTTATTTACTTTTTTTGGGGGGGGGGGGGGGAGAGTACTCGCTTAATAATAGGGTATACGGGGATGTGGGTTATTTTTCTTCCTGAAGGAAGAAATATGACAATGTTAATTCAAAATTACACTGCATTCACTGGCTTAAAAATTGATAACAAATACATGCTGAGGTATATATGTGAAGTGTACAGAATGATGATGTATAATTTTAGGTCGTCTGGATTTTGAAATCATGCGATGTTATTATAGTTCGTTTTGTTGATGAACGGAATGCCAACTACATTTATGTGTGAAGAACCATTTACTGGATGAGAATGTGAAATGAAAGATAAATGTCAGTATGCAAAAGCTTCCACTTAACCAAAAATAAATAAATATACTTGTATATATGAGACATTCATTTGAAGAAAATCCTCCTCCAAAGGGGATGGGCCGGGAAATTCATTAAACACCTGAAAAGGCCAAGGACCTTTTATGTCGTGCTCCGATCAGGCGCGTACGCAGGATTTTTTCAAGGGGGGGGGGGTTTAACATTTATAAATCGGGCCGAAAATTTCGCAACGACTCAGCCAGCCGATG